TCAATGTATTTGTTCCTCCAATCCCATGTTAGACTTATCGAGTTGACCTCGGCGTGTCCTTCTTCAATCACCGACTTGGATAGCTGGACAACGGCCCTTGGGAGTATGTCATCTTCTTCGACCGAGGACCCTAGGTTCGCGAGTGCATCGGCCTCACTGTTCTGTTCTCGGGGAATATGGACCAGAGTCCATTCTTTGAAGCGATGCAATATGACCTGAAGTTTGTCCAAGTATCTTTGCATCCTATCTTCTCGGGCCTCGAAGCTTCCATTCACTTGGTTAACTGCCAGGAGGGAGTCATATTTTGCTTCGACGATTTCTGCTCCTAGGCTCTTGGCCAACTCGAGACCTGCAATCATAGCCTCATACTCGGCCTCGTTGTTAGTGAATTTCGGAGTTTTTATAGATTGCCTAATCATGCCGCCCGTAGGCGGTTTCAGAACGATGCCTAGCCCGGACCCTTTTACGTTCGAGGCACCATCGGTGAATAGGGTCCATACCCCCGATGATGTGCCCGTTTCTAGCAAGAGTTCTTTCTCTACCTCGGGCACAAGGGCAGGCGTAAAATCAGCCACGAAGTCCGCCAATATTTGGGACTTGATAGCTGTCCGAGGTTGATATTCGATATCATACCCCCGAGCTCGATGGCCCATTTGGCCAATCTGCCCGATAATTCAAGCTTGTGCAAGATATTTCGAAGAGGGTATGTTGTTAAGACACATATACGGTGGCATTGAAAATAAGGTTTTAATTTTCGAGATGCACTTATTAATGCAAGAGCTAATTTTTCTAAGTGGGCATACCTGGTTTCCGCATCTCCCAGAGTCTGACTCACGTAATAAATAGGGAATTGCGTACCTCGTTCTTCCCGAACCAACACACCACTTACTGCTACTTCGGATACGGCCAGATACAAGTATAACGTTTCATACTCTTTCGGGGTGTGGAGCAAAGCGGGCGCGAGAGATATCGCTTTAACTCTTCTAAAGAGTGTTGGCATTCCGGAGTCCATTCAAAGTTGTTTTTCTTTTTGAGAAAGGAGAAGAAATGATGACTCCGATCTGACGATCTTGATATGAACCAGCCTAAGGCCGCTATCCGCCCGGTCAGCCGCTGCACGGCCTTCACATTGTTCACCGCTGTGATATCTTCAATGGCCTTGATTTTGTCGGGGTTGATCTCGATTCCCCTATTTGCCACTATGAACCCCAAAAATTTGCCCGATCCTACTCCGAAGGCACACTTCTCGGGGTTGAGCTTCATGTTGTAACTTCTGAGGATATCGAATGTTTCTTACAAATGAGTCAAATGGTCCTCTGCGCGCAAGGACTTAACTAGCATGTCATCAATGTAAACTTCCATAGATCGGCCTATTTGATGTTCGAACATCTTATTAACTAGGCGTTGGTACGTAGCTCCTACATTTTTTTGGCCCGACGGGCATTACATTATAACAGTATGTATCATACTTCGTGATGAACGAAGTCTTTTCCCTGTCCTCTAGGTTCATTTGAATTTGATTATACCCGGAGTAGGCGTCGAGGAAAGTAAGGATCTCGTGGCCGGCCGTGGCATCGATCAAGCGATCGATGTTGGGCTGTGGGAATGAGTCTTTAGGGCATGCTTTATTCAAGTCTTTATAATCTACGCACATTCTTAATTTATTTCCTTGTTAGGGAACCACTACCACATTAGCCAACCATTCGGGGTATTTTACCTCCCTTATCGATCCTATTTTGAGGAGTTTTGTTACCTCGTCTTTGATGAACGCATGTTTTACCTCGGATTGAGGCCTCCTCTTTTGCTTCACTAGTTTGAACCTGGGATCGACACTTAGTCGATGGGTGGTTATTTCTGCGAGATCCCTGTCATGTCTAAATGGGACCAAGCGAAGCAATCAATGCTGTTAATAAGAAATTGAATGAGTTTTTTCCTGAGTTCGGGGGTCAATCCCGTTCCCAGGTATACCTTTCGATCTGGAAGTTGCTCGATCAGGACGATCTGCTCGAGTTCTTCGACCGTTGATTTTGTTGCGTCCGACTCTTGGGGGTAATGAAGGTCCGAGGAGTGAGGAAGTCTTCTTCGTCACCTTCGTTCGAATGCTTGCAGACGCCTGTTCCTCGTGGGTCGACCTGTTCCCTGACTCGTCCCAGGCGGGGGGAGTCGACGTTGGTCCTATGTCGTTTACCGCGAACATCTCCTTCGCTTCATGTTGTTCTCCGTACACCGTTTTTATACCATTTTCTGTTGGGAACTTCATCATCTGGTGAAGAGTTGATGGTACCGCCCCCATGTTGTGTATCCACGGTCTCCCAAGTAAGGCATTGTACCTTATGTCACCTTTGATGACATGAAACTTGGTGTCTTAAACTGTGCCGGACATGTTGACTGGGAGGATGATTTCTCCTCTCGTTGTCTCGCTTGCCAGGTTAAATCCACTGAGGATTCGAGAGGTGGATATGACCTGATCGAGCAATCCGAGCTGCTCCACCACCTTCGACCTGATTACGTTGGCCGAGCTACCTGGATCCACGAGCACGCGTTTAATTTGAACGTTATTCAAAAGGAAAGAGATTACTAGTGCATCATTATGCGGTGGGGACGAGGCTGCGATATCTTCTTCTCTAAATATAAGAGTGTCCCTGGGTACATAGCCCCGAGTTTGCTTTTCCATAGCGATGGACACTTTGGCCCTTTTGAACATGGGTCCAGGTGGGATCTCGGTTTCTCCAACGATGATGTGAATGATGTGTTGTGGTTCTTCTGGTCCTTTCTTTCCATAAAGCCCAATATTGTTGTTTTCGCGTGCATTTGCTAAGTTAGACATTTTGACCTGAAATCAACGATCCTTGGACTGTGAAGAATAACTTTGTGTTTTCAGAAAACTAGCACCAAAACAACCACTATTATTCTTAGCCCCACGGTGGACGCCAAACTGTTTTCCTTGAAAATGGTAACTACAATTATATTTGAAATACGTGATTTATCTTAATACTAGTTGCTAGGCAATAGATGCTAAGTATAAGTAAAGAGAAATAGGATGTGAAAACCAATGGGGTCACAAAGCTGGGTCTCGAGCTGGCTGGAGCAAGACCTTGTGGTCTAGATGGAGTTAATAACGATGAACTATTAACAAAGAATCAATGATAATGAGGCCCTTAAAGATAGCCTTTTGCGGTTAATGATGAGCAATAAATGAAGAACAATAATGTACAATGAAAGAAAAAGCAATAAATATGAAGAACAATAGTGTTAGCAAAGAGAGCAGAGAATATTGTATTGTATTCAATATGTTGTGTAATAATTCGAATCCCCTTACAAGATGACCAGGGTCCCCTTTATATGGGGGGGGGGGGGGGGGGGGATCTTTGTATAGTACACGTCTAATCATGATAGGGAAATGCTATTAGTATAGCTGTATAATGGCTCAGTAAAGATGTGTACTGTCCTTTGCAGTCTTTGTCAGTCCTCATCACGTGTCTTCGGGAGCCTTCTGCCTTTTCATAACGGTCATCAGCTTACATGCTGTCTCGAGGTGCGTCACGGTGACTCTTCGATATGCCCTGCCGAGGCGAGTGCTTCGAGGACGAGCCTCGGGCTGTGCTTCGATGCCGTCGAGGCCGGTCTTGGAAACGCCATCGAAGCCTTAAAATCGGGCCTTGCTGATTTTAACCGCATACATGCAGGTCCTCATCCTACTTGAAAATCGAGCTTTTTCTGCTTCCTATAGTAGTCTTCTAGGGGTTTGACCTCAAATGAAATACAAAGTAATGACATGTATTAGCTGCCGTGCGTTGTAGATCAACTGAGAAATGAAAAATAACTTCGCTCTAATATCACCTTAAGATACTAACCATAATCAACATAAGATACAGAGAAACCAAAATTTATAGTTGAGACTAGATTTAGATGCAATCATACTTGAAACATGCAATGCAATGAAGCACAGAATAAGTGTAAACGCATAAAGAATTGAGTTATAACCGACGAATGCTAGAATTGAACGAAAAAATATGACATTGATATGTAAACTATACAGCATGGTTAGTCCAATTAAGGATCAGGAACTCCCTAAATTAGCTTTGTACCAAAATCATTTATTCAAATATCTAGAGTAGAAATTCTACTAAAAAAGAACGAGTCATGTTCCGCATATGGGTTTGCCTCTGTGTAATTGAGCAAGCAACAGGATTCGATTTTAATCCTATTTATCTCAAATTTTCAAAGCTACTGGAGTATTTAACTTCTAAAATTTACAAGATTTCATATAGAACCTGTTGAGCATGCTCATGCTGCTTCTCTCTCCAAGCACCATCCGTGGCCATTGAAGACCTTAAATTACCACTCTCTGGCTGCAGACCAAGATTAATCCTGGGAGGCCTTCTCAGAAGGAATTCTTCAGGTGAATAAAATCCACTGCCTCCATCATTCTTTGACACACAACCATTAGAACACTTGAGATTCAGAAAACAATTTGCGATGCTTTTAACTTTAACTTTCGTGTACACACAACACAACACAGTGACTTGCATTAACAAGCAGTTCTCTATAATAAACCACTCTCTATAATAAGCTTCATCTAGTAATGTAGAAAACAAGGTAAATTGCATGCTGTAACAAGTTAAAATACAATTACACACAAAGTGTATAATAGTATAAGTTAAGTGAAAAGGGAGAGCTTTACATACAGCCTGAAGGTAGTGAACTTCTTCTAGCCTCTTTGAGGACAGACCATTAAAAAGGAAAATCGCTACGCCCACCGTGGGGCTCGAACCCACGACCACAAGGTTAAGAGCCTTGCGCTCTACCAACTGAGCTAGACGGGCTTGCTGGTAGGAAGTGCGAACTTCCGGTATATGTTATTTGAGTGTTGAAACTAACCCGCTGACTAACGGTTAAGTTATATTTTTGGCTTCTAGGAACCTACCCTACTCAAACGGAAAATATTACTCCTATTAGAGCTTGGAGAAAATAAAGAGCATTCGACTTTGAAATAGTATTCCCGGTTTGGCTTTCCTAGTCTCCTTCCCAATGACCTGGTAGATGATCAGATTCTTCTAGGTTGGTTCGTGGATATCTGGAAGCCCAATTCTTCATTGAAAACTGATCAACGGTACACACCCGAAATTCCCGCGCGCTAACAATTTCCCGGTTGCTTTACGCACGCCACACGGAATCTGCCGCTCTTAATATACATATATATAAGGGTCAAGAATTTGGTTGTATAGCAGTTCAACTCTTGCCTTTTGTTTTTACTTTTGTGTTTAGCCTATTAATTCTTGCCAAAGTACACACTCTTTGATATTTGTTAATTTGATGGCAGAATACCAGCAGCACCGACGTCTATTTGAACGCTTTGATGAGAATAGAGATGGGAAAATATCAGCAGAGGAGCTGCAACAGTGTGTCCACTTGATCGGCAAAGACATGTCGTATGAGGAAGCAAAGGCTGCGGTTGAGATCAATGACTCCGATAATGATGGCTTGTTGGATTTCGAGGATTTTGTGAGATTAATTGAAGATGGAAGCGAAGAAGAGAAGGCGCACGAGCTGAAGGAAGCATTCAGGATGTATGAGATGGAGGGATGTGGATGTATTACGCCTGAGAGTTTGAATAGAATGCTTGCCAAATTAGGAGAATCAAGAACCATTGATGAATGCAGAGGAATGATTTGCCGCTATGATATTGACGGCGATGGTCTCCTTAACTTTGATGAGTTCGAGATTATGATGCGTTGCTAGTTTTTTGTCCTTGTTTGTATCTTTGATTTTTTCTTTGATCTTTCGTTGAGGATTACTCATTCTTTCTGTATATTAGTACAACATTGCCCCTTATTGTAGACTAATGGTTCCAATATGGAATTTTTACATTCCTATACCATATAGGAAATTATATTACCCTCAATGTTTAAGGTTTGATATAATTTACATTTAGTATATCTAATTACCAATTCTATACCATGAGGTGTTTTAACTGTACATTAATTGTACCTTATATCACTCCTAAATTTATGGTACCGTATATTCCTCCAAATCCCCATCCCCCACGTTTCTCTCTCCCAACCCCACACCCTCACCCACGTATCACCACACACCTAGAAACCAGAAAAACAATTGAAACCCTCTACCATTAACGTCCAAAATCAAGGTTTTTTCTTCTACAACCATTCAAAATTGAAGTCAAATCTTCAAAGTTTCATACACAGCAATAACTTTTGATGGTTATGATTTCGGGTTCCTTCAGTAATAAAAGGAAAGGAAAAGAGAGCAGCAATTCCACCATTGACAGCCATTAAAAAGCTTTGAAGCTTTGAATTCAAATTTGGATTTTCAAAAATCATTATTTGTTTGGATTGGGTGTTGTTGTAAATAATTGGGAATATGGTTTGGAGTTTATATCTCAATTTTGAGGGGTTTTGGTGAAGATTAGACTTGGTTTTGGCTGAATTTCAGATTGAAATTCGAAGAAGAAGAAGAAGAAGAAGAAATTACATACATTATATTGCAGAAATTGTAGATAAAATGTAGAAAAATTATAGACTGTTGTTTATTTATTTTTGAGCGTTGTGTTTTTGTGTTAAAAGTTTTGATGGGAGCTTGTTATTCCACTTCGTCTGTTTTGGAGCTAACTTGTGTAGAGGAGAAGATATTTTTTAAGTTATATATATTGCTATACCTTTAAATTCAAAAAAGTATGGTTGTATTGTATTTAAAGAGGCGTGAATTTGTAGAATAGGTTGCATGTGAGGAATCAGTCAAATAAGACTCACAATGGCTTGTTTTCTACATTTAATCTACAACAAAACTACATATCATTTGAAAAATTAATATGAAAATACAGAATTTCAATGTTTCTACAAATTATCTACAAAATATCTACAAACTGGGTACATTGAATTTTAATATCCCAATTCTCATTCAATTGTAGCATAATTGGGATTTTCAACATAATTGTATTTTTTCAGAAGATTTGTAGAAGTTTTAGTCGTTTTTGATTTGTGAAAACAGAAAACAAAGCATCTACAATCAGAATACAAATAATCTACAATTTATCTACAAAATATCTACAAACTGGGTACATTGAATTTTAATATCCCAATTCCCATTCAATTGTAGCATAATTGGGATTTTTGACATTATTGCATTTTTTTCAGAAGATTTGTAGAAGTTTTAGTCGATTTTTTATTTGTGAAAATAGAAAATAAAGCATCTACAATCAGAATATAAATAATCTACAATTTATCTACAAAATATCTACAAACTGGGTACATATTTGGACTCAACATGCTTCCCCTGAAATGTATGTTTCNTGGAATTTGCTGCTCTCTTTTCCTTTGCTTTGTATTACTGAAATTTGGACATAATTGTGTTTGATGAAGAAGAACCGTAGAAGATTTAGTCGTTTTTGATTTGTGAATTGTAGAAGAATAATCAGTTCGTTTTTGAATTTTAGAAGAATAATCAATTCGTTTTTGAATTGTAGAAGAATAATTGCGTTTGATGTAGAGAAGCTAAATTTGAAACGAAACTGACGAAGAAGATTAATGTGCGTGATTTGCGTTTGGAAGATCTGGAAGAATATTTAATCCCTCAATTTTAGCCCCTAAATAAGGAAGCCTGCAGCTACAATGATTCCTCATTTAATGCATGGTCTATATTTTGTAGAAATACTATTAGCATGAATGGCAATATGCAAACTATGAACATATTTGGTAATATAGTTTCGTATATGGTACATATACGAAAATTTCCCTTCTAATATTTGTAAAGTTTTCATCTTGACATATTTATATGTTTTTGGATAATGCAGCTTTGCTTAAAAACTTATGTATTCTCATAGATGTCATCGGAGGCGGAGCCAAGACTTCAAGTTTATGGGTTCAGAATTCTAAGCATTTTAAGCGATTGGGTTCTAAATTAATAATTTATATATATTCAATGAATTTTTAAGACAAATACAGGGTTCGAACCAAAACTATTGGGTTCGGCCAAACCCACTCGGAGCACTCTAGCTCTGCCCCTGGATGTCATATGTAAAACAGCGAGTATTTGGTGTTCCAACTTGTATTTTCAGTCATGTAAATGGGTACATTTATATCTGAAGAAGTACACCGGTAGTAGGAGTTTTATAGATGAGGAAGAGAGGTTTAGGAGATATATACAACAATTTGAATTCAAATGAGAATCTTAGCTCTGCATATCCTTATCCTTATCATGCCCCCGCAAGATTGGCTCCACTGGTTGGAGGCCAATCTTGGTCACAAAGTCAGAGAAAGGTCGTCGAGGTAGAGGTTTTATGAGGGCATCTGCAAGCTGTGAGGCATTGCTAATGTGCCGAACATCAATTTGATTCCTTGATCACGGACGAAATGAAAATCAATGGCCACATGCTTTATTCTACTGTGGAAGACAGGATTACGACTGAGATAAGTGGCTCCAACATTATCGCATAGGATTTTTGGCGGAGACTTAGGTGGAAGATGCAGCTCCTTAAGGAGATTAACAATCCAGTTTACTTCAGCTACAGCTCCTGCAACAGCTCGATACTCAGCTTCAGTGGATGAGCGAGCAACTGTTCGCTGCTTTTTAGAACACCAACTGATAGGATTGGACCCAAGAAGAATGACATAAGCTGAAGTTGAGTGTCTTGTATCAATCATTCCGCCCCAATCAGCGTCAGAGTAAGCCTGAAGTATGGTAGTGGATGAGGGCCTTATGAGAAGTCCATAGGTGAGTGTTTCTTTGAGGTATCTGAGCAAGCGCTTAGCTGCTTGCCAATGTCGAATCAACGGAGCATGTTGGAATTGAGCAAGCTTATTGATGGTAAAGCAAATATCCGGCCTTGTAAAACTAAGATACTGAAGAGATCCAATGACTTGTCTATACAGCTTCACATCTGCTGAACAAGATCCATCATTAATGCTTAGATGCTCACTGGTAGACATTGGAGTAGCAACACCATTTGCTTCCAGCATGTGAAATTTATCTAATAGCTCAGCAATGTAATTGCTTTGAGTAAGTAAGAATACATTGCTTTGAGTAAGTAAGAGACCATCTGAATGTGGAATGACTTCGACACCAAGAAAAAAATGCAAAGATCCAAGATCATTGATAGAGAACCTGTTGCCCAACAACTTGATGGTGTGGTCGACATGCTTGATTGACGAACCAGTGACAACAATGTCATCGACATACACCATAACAAAGATAAGGATATTGTGTTGAAACCAGACAAACAGTGAGTTATCCGGATGAGTTTTGCTGAAACCACATGAAAGAAGAAAGTTCTTGAGCTCTGTATACCAAGCTCTTGGAGCTTGGCGAAGTCCATAAATGGATTTACGAAGTTTACAGACATAATTGGGATAAACAGGATCAACGAATCCCGGAGGTTGTTGCATATAGACTTCTTCATGCAATGTGCCTTGGAGAAAGGCATTGTTGACATCTAGTTGTCGTAAGGGCCACCTGAAAGACACTGCTAAAGAGATAATTAGACGAATGGTGGTATGTTTAATGACTGGACTGAAGGTAGAATGAAAATCATGCAACACCCGGTCTTTGGTGAAAACCCTTTGCAACTAGACGCGCTTTATAGCGTTCGACTGATCCATCTGCATTGTTTTTCACACGAAACACCCACTTTCAGCCTATCACATTTTGTGATGAAGTTGGAGGAACTAGAGACCAAGTAGCATTATTCAAAAGGGTTGAGTATTCAGCCTGCATTGCATCATGCCATTCAATATATTTGTTTGCTTGCTTAAACGATGAGGTGCTAGTGGCAGTGTTTTGTTGGGCGAGACAGCAAGGTAGTCAAAAACTTGTTTGGGCTTGAAGACATTATTTTGAGATCTCGTCACCATTCTTGAGGGAGGAAGAGGTACCACTTGTGTGGTAGAAGAAGAGAGAAGAGGCGTAGTAGTGGAAGAAGAACAAGGTGGAGAAGATCTCACCTCGAGTGAAGGTGAAGCATCATCCTGCAATAATAAGCTCGGTGAACCTTCCATGGGTGGCTGCTGACAAGGAGAGTTGCTTGAGGGAGGCAATGAGATAGGTTCAAAGGCAATATCTTATTGGTTTTGTACTGGAGAAACATTGGTTGGTTCTGTGGAGTGGATCCACTGGTGCAAGAGTGATGGTTCTATTCTGGAAGACCTAGCTGATTATTTTTGAATGGAAATATATGTTCCACAAAGAGGACATGTCTTGAGATGAATATTTTGGAGGTTGAAAGATCAAGACATGCATAACTATTTGTAGAAGGTGAGTATCCCATGAAAGCACAAGGTCTTGATTTGGGAGCAAGTTTGTTGTTGTTATATGGTTTTAACCAGGGGTAACATAAACAACCAAAAACTCTTAATTTCAAAGAGTTAGGGGATGTGTGAAAGAGGCATTGAAAAGGAGAACGAAGTTTGAGCAATGGAGTAGGCATCCTATTGATAAGGTAGACAGCTGTTTGACAAGCCAATGACCAAAAACATGAGGGTACAGAATTAAAGTTAGAGCAGTATCTATGATATGTCGATGCTTGCGTTCAGCTAATCCAACAATTTGAGGAGTGTAGGGAGGACTAGTGAGATGTTGAATGCCATGCTGCGTAAGGATAGATTTTAAGCTTATGTATTCTCCACCCCCATATGAATAGAGTGTGCCAACAGTAAGGTGAAATTGGTTTTTCACCATGCTAAGAAAGTTCACAAATACTCCTTGAACATCTGATTTATTCTTTAATGGGAATAACCAAGTGTACTTTGTATAGTGATCCACAAAAATCACATAAAATCGAAAATTATCAAATGAGTGAATAGGAGAAGAACCCCAAACATCAGAGTACAAAAATTCAAAAGGTCTAGAACTACTAATGGAATTGTCACCAAAAGGAAGGCGATGACTTTTATTGCATAAGCATGAATGACAGAATGTAAAGGAATCGGGGAAGCTTAAAGGAAGAAACAAATAATTTCGTTATTCTAGGTTGAGAGTGACTAAGTCTGGCATGCCATAGGTGCAATGTTGGCGTGGATGTAGTGGTGAAGTGAGCAAGAGGAGAAGATGGACGATGTTGTGACTTGTCAGCTGGCCATTCATAGAGGTCCCCTTTGCTCCGTCCTTGCAGGAAGCGTGCCCCCGCATTCAAATCCTTCACACAAAAAGAATAGGGAAAGAATTCAATAGATGCTTGATTGTGGAGACAAAATTTAGCAACTGAAATTAAATTTCTTTTGATTCTTGGAGAACAAAGAACATTATGCAGATGAAAAGGCTTAGTGTTATCATAAAAAAATATAGTTTGACCAATATGAGTAATTGGTATTCCTTTACTGGCGCCGATGATGATTTCATCATTGCCTGAAAAGTGAGTAGCAGACTGAAGGGAGTTTGGATTATCTATGATGTGGTGAGAAGCCCCCGAGTCAACAAACCATGAACTTAAGTAATTGGCAGCATAGTTTGCATGATTAGTAAACTTTGCCTGAGCTTCAAGTGCATCGTGAGATTTAGAGCGGCACACCTTAGCTATATGACCAAACTTGTCGCAAAGTTGGCACTACACTCTTTGTTGATTAGACATGTTATTGAACGCCTTTGAGTTGGTCATTTGTCCAGAAAAATTACGGTTGTTAGGCATGAAATTGGAATGCCCTCCCCTTCGCTTAGAACTAGTGTGGTTTCTTCCTTTAGACTGGTTGAACGAGGTGCGGTGCTGGATAAATTGTGCAGTGATAATAGGCTGCTCATTCTTTGATTCTGAGTGCTGGACGAAAACTTCACGAGCAAGAAGTTTGTCAAATAGTTCTTCGAAAGATATGGGATTATCACGAGCGCGTATAGCCGCTGAGATCTCTTTGTATTCTGCTCCAACTCCGCTTAAAACTTTGATGACTAGTTCCTCATTTGTTAGAGACGAGCCAGAGGCAGCCAAATCATCCGCAATGGATTTAATTTCTTTCATGTAGTCGCTGACGGACTTGGAGTCTCGCCTGATGTTTGAGAGTAACTCACGAAGACCAAAAATTCTTGCTTGAGATTTGTTCGCATAGGTCGTTTGCAAACTGTCCCATGCGTTTTTTGCAGTAGCTGCTTGAGCAATCAGCGGCGCAATGGATGGATCGACAGAGGCCATGATTGCACTGCGAACAAGGCTGTCTTGCCTTAGCCACAACTTGTAGTTTGGATTAGGAAGTTGATTGCCTTTGTCATCTGCAATATACACTGGAGGAATGACAGATGTGCCATCGATGTAGGATAGGAGATCATATCCAAATAGTAAGGTGGTTACTTGGGCTTGCCAAGTCGAATAGTTTGAGCTTCCCATCAGTTAGATCGAGCTGTGACGTTGGGTTGAAGGAAATCAGTTGTGTTGGTTGGATCACATGTCCATGGCTGAAAATGGTTGGTGAGGTGGTGGTGCTTGAGTTTTCTCCCGTTAGGCTTTAACTGGATGAGAGGAAAAAAAAGGTTGCAGACTTTTGGAATTGCTAACAGCGAGTATTTGGTGTTCCAACTTGTATTTTCAGTCATGTAAATGGGTACGTTTATATCAGAAGTACACTGGTAGTAGGAGTTTTGTAGATGAGGAAGAGAGGTTTAGGAGATATATACAACAATTTGAATTCAAATGAGAATCTTAGCTCTGCTTATCCTTATCCTTATCAATATGATGTGTTCTATTCCTTTTTAGTGATGAATGCTGCAGTTTTACTCTACTTCGACTTGAGCAACCAATCAATTTTAATTATTCTTGCAAATGTCTCCTATTGGTATATGAATCTTGTAAAAGTATTCTGTACTTTACTTTAGTGAAAGACTGTTTCTTCTTCAATCTGCTGTAATATTCCTTTTGTTCTACCTTTTGGGTTGTCCTTTGAATCTAGGGAACGACCTTAAGGTCAGTCATGAAAACATTTTTAATGAAAAGTCAAGACATATTTGGGAGATGAACTGAATATTGATTGACAGCAGTAGCTACATAAGAAGATCACTATGATCAAAGGTAGTTGCTGCATACGTACATATTTACAACTTAATAATAAGCGGTCTACAGTCTCCTCTTGTATTTTGCCGTAAGTGCAGAGGAGATCAAGATCTTAAGAGCCATAAAAACCTTACAAGTTAAACACCTGGAAACTTAATCACTTACAATTCACAAAAGCTCGCATTTTTGGTAATCACATGGTACTGGTGGCTGCAGCCATGAACAAAGGTTTGCAAGAACTTTCGGAGGTTATGAGTTGCTCTTCCCCTTCCAGTAATTCTTCAACCAATCTTGACAACTTCTCCACAATCTCACCAGCATTTGGTCTTAACGAGGGCTCGTCCTCCACGCATGCTCTAGCCAGATTTGCCAATGTCACTGCTGCATCAAATGAATAATTGTCTCCCAATGCACTGTCTATCCATTCCCTTAACTCATCCGCGTTATCCGACTCCAAAATGACCTTTATTTTATCAGACAGCCTAGTTTCATCTTCTCCTTTACCATTGCCACTGCTTATAGGTGTTTGGCCTGATAACACCTCCAGCAAGATCACCCCAAAAGCAAAGATATCAATGCTCGGGGTAAGGATTCCTCGTTCAAGATACTCTGGAGCTAAATAACCTTTTGCAACATCATCTTCAACGCATCGAGCCATGCCAAAATTACCAACTTTTGCCTTGAAATCTTCATCAAGAAAAATGTTCCTGCTCTTTATATTTCGGTGGACATAAGCAGGATCCATGATATGGTGCATAAATTGCAAGGCAGTCGCTACATCTAAGCAAATCCTTAGCCTCTGATTCCATGTCAAGAAACAATAGCACGAAGCAATGAATCGATTCTTCATTGCTCGACCACCATGAAGCCAGTCTTTTAACGAACCATTTACAGCATATTCAAACACCAAGAATGAATCAGGACTCTCTGATACGCACGTCCCTAAGTGCCTGATAATATTTGGATGATGATGAATTGCATCATTGAATAGTCCAGTATCTATTTTTGAGATATTGCAAGTCTCCATCTTTTTGATTGCCAAATCTTTGCCACTGATCCGGCCATGGAATACAGAATCCTCGATAAGATTGGAGGAATCGAAATCCTCTGTAGCCTTCTTTATCTCCTCAATAGTGTAGGTCTCAACCAACAGCTTATGTGGTGTGGCATCAATAATCTGACTGTCTAGTTCATTTTGAGACCCCTCGAATGAAACTTTCTTTTCGCTGGTTGTTCTCACGCTTAAGCTTAACTTTTGTAGCTCCAAATCTGCTTCCTTACACAAATCTGCATCCCTCTTCCTCTTGTGCTGGATAAACAAGAAAACTGCCGCAAACGCTACTATTGACATAAAGGCAACCACAGCAACAGCAATATAAACTCCCATCATCCTCATTTTGGACTTCCTTTTATGTTTTTTAGTTGACGCAATGCTTGCTGCTGGATATCCCAAATCCGGCTGCTGGGAGTTTGTAAATAAGCTAAGTCTCGGTTTACCTGTTGACACATAATATAACAAACATAACGTTATGTTCTCTCTCTAACAACTTAAACTTTTAAATGAGACAGTCATACTATTCAATTTGGTACCAGAGCAAGCAAGGGAACTTAGATTCAAATCTCACCACCACTCAAAAAGCAAAAAACATTTCAACATCTATATCTCACCACCACCCAAAGAGCAAAAAAAATTCTTCATGGGTAAGGGAACGTGTTATAATTAAATAACTAAAAATGCAATCTTTCTAAATACTTAAATTTTCAGATGAGATAGTCGCACAATTCAACATTACCTTCGAGCGGAATCAAAAGAGTTGAAGCTGGTGAAAGGCTTTCAGGTCTAAAACTACCTCCTTCTAATCTGTGATTGGTAGCAATTATTCTTTCAGCACTAGTATTGAAACCAATTGCTAAAGCTGCAATTGTATCACCTTGCTTCACTGGATAAGAAACCAAAAGTTTTGTTTGTGGACTAATTTCTTCTGGAGAAAGACAAGCACATCTCAATGGAATTGACAGTAAAAGTTTCTCAGACAAACCAAAAGGAGTAATATTTGGATTTTTTTCCTTAATTGCTTTACATGTCGTTAAACCTTCTAAAGATTGAGCAATGCTATAAAAGCTCTCTCCTTTAATTGTTGTTTTTGTCAATTCAGCTTCAAAAAATCCGCCAACGCATTTACAATCTAATGGAATTAATAAAGGCTGGTCAATTGTAAGAAATTCTGTATCAGCAGAAAAGCCATTTGCTTCACCTAGAACGTATCGATTGATACCCAAATAAGAACTCAGATTGAAAAGAGATGAGTAAAATGAATTGGTACGAAGAATTGCGAATGTTCCACATTGCAATGGCTGCAAATTACGGTCACATCGATAGCCAGAAGCAGCTGGAGATTTTGACTCGCAGCTTAATAAATCCTCTAGTCCAAGAGCAGAAACTGTCACAAATAAGAAGAAAATCAAAGAACAAAACTGAAAATCAACTGTCATAGTAATGAATTAAGCGAAGGACCACTCAACTCCACGTGGATTGTATTTGTGTAGTAAGAATAAAAAGGTTGTTTTTGTAGGAAGGCAAAGGAGATGAATATATTTTGGATCTGTACAAAAGGTAGAATTTCTTGGACAAGAGTCTTGGTTGCTGCAATTCTTTTATATTTTTGAGTCTAACTGTGGATGAGTGCAGTTTTCTATTAATTCTAAGATTTTAAATGGCTAACTGTCATGATTAACCCCTCAACGAATTCCTTTTGGTTTGCTAAAATTGCTTTGTTTATTTGTCTCATACATGCACTTGAAAAAGGTCATTTTGCCTAGGTAGAATGAGCAACAACAAATGAATATACATGCATTGGTGTGAGTATATCTATTATGTGTTGATACGAGGATGAGAAATGCCAGAAGAGCCTAGAAAACCAAAGTTAGGAGTTTAAAAATTGGCTAGTGGGTTGGTCTCAGAGACTCCTCGTATGGCTAAATTTGTTTAGTTATAGGAGAAGAGAGGGGATAACTGCCTGGGAGAGGATGAGAGAGAGCTCTTGAGGGAGATATGATTTCTATATTGAAGTTAGCAATAGCCAATGTGTTCACTTGTGAACATTTTTATATGAGGAAATAAGAGAGTTAATCACACTTGATAGGTAGACACTACTCTCACGGCCTCCGATCCAAGTCTATGTTGTTCGGACTCTCCGAAAATGTCATCGAATATATGTTCGATCCTTCAAAATTAGTGCATTTTTGAAGAATCTGACACGAGTGCGACAACATTTTGAAGAGTCCTCGCAACATAATTAACTACAAGTAAACGTGTAATTATGCGTACTGAATGGATGTGCTATTTCCTCTTAATGATGTAATTAGTATGTGCTGCGGATATTTGGTGGAAGTTGAAAAAAGAAAAGAGTTTACATGTCGTTTCATAATATATCGTATTATATTGTATTGTTTGATAAATATAATGTTTGGATTGTATCGTTTGCCGTTGTTTCATGATGTCACACACCAATAATATGAAGAATAAACTTGCAACATTATTAAGAAAAAATAGGATATGGAGTAGAATTATTATATAAAGAAGTAGGGTAAAGGATAAGGAAGGACAAAATGAGAGAAAAAAGCATGGAAAACGACGCCACCACACCAAATCTGCCGTTCCATAAAGTGGCCCTTTTTGTCGTTACGTAACAATGAATTTAACGATAAGATTCAATAAAATTTAAGTAACAATCAAAACAAATATTATATTTAAAGTAACAATACTATACAATACGATAGGTAACAACCATCCAAACAAGCTGTAAAATTGAAGTGGAAAAGAAATAATACTTTTCAAACGAGTTATTCAATACTTCATCAGTTTTTCAGATACTGAATCCAGCTTCAATATTTGTAAGTGAAGTCGTGGCCGAATCCCAGAATGCTCGGGGAAAAGCTACTAATTTTGTGCACGGTTGATGATATTTAATTCCTTAATTCAATTCAACCACCATTTAGCAAGACATAACAAATTTCTTTCAGGCAAACCACAATATTAACACTTAATACTCACTATTAAGCGTTACTCACAGAGTATATTTTAATCATATAAACATGACTACTAAATGCAAAAGCATAAAGTACCTCCACTAATATTCACACACCAAGTGTTCGACATATTTCCATGCGCAAATTAAATCGAAATGATGTTTTAAAAAGAAAGATGTTTCACAAAGAATTAACTCAGTGTGTGTGATGGTCTCTTGTCTTGGTTCATGACTTAGGGGAGGATAAGAGATCCGTACAATGGACAAGCAATATATGCCAATAAGAACTTGCTTGATGAGACCTTCTTTGCTTGCTAAAGCTGAGGCATTTCTAGGACGCTTCAAGTTAAAAGATGGATGACTCGAAATTCCATCTACACTTAGGTCCTAGCTATAGGCTATATAGCCAGAGGCGAATTTAGATAACAAACTGCACGTTTAACTGAACTCCGTAACTTTAGATAACATATATTGGAGTACATATTTTGAACTTATAATTTTAAATGTCCAATGAGTTCGATGGCAAAAATATAAAAATTGAACCTATTAAGTTAAAATGATGGACCCTCCTCTGTATATAGCCTACATTTGACATGGGCCATCTCTGAGATTAAAAGAGTTTAATTTTTACCATGCTCGTTAAGTTGTTTTTTCATTTACAAAATCATCTTTCATTGACGATTCTCTGTTTTTTTTTCGTTGCTGTGGGGATATGGAGCAAAAAGAAAGAAAAGCACGTGAGACCACGTGCCCAGCACCGTTCAGCAATCTCCATAGATAAACAAAGAAATGAAAGAGGGATACAGAGGTGAAAGTTACGAGAGCTGTCCGATTTCTGAGGCCAAAAGAAAGGTTTCTTCACCATTATAAATCCTATTCTCCTTTAGTATTTACACTAATCTAATAAATACATAGTAGTATATTCTATCGCATGCACTTTTTTGGACATCTGAAAATTGTGTATTTAATTTAGATAGGGTGAGCACATAAACTGTTAAGGATCTGATTTCATTGGAAACATACTAACTTGAGAAGCAGTGGCAACTAGGATCGAAATATTACCATCGAGTATATCCTTTTGAACTCCCATGCAGAGGGATTTTGAACTTGTTATTTTGACAGGCTGGCGAATCAGAATTGGACCCAAGCACTTCTTTGAAACTCCCACAAACTATGATTCTTTAAGGATGAGATTCGGTCCAGTAATTTTTGGTCCAGTAAATTTCAATACCACACTTGATATTAGCCACGTATCACTAAAGATATGAAGTGTGTGGATCATTTTGTTTTAGGACCTCTATCACTGAGTCTTTATTGAATTTTACTATCTTAAAAAATAAAAAATGAAAACGCATAACCGAGAATATAACAATCGAATTTGTGACATTGTGCTTGCTCATTGGAGATCAATCAAATTAGGTGGAATCGAATATATCCAGGAGTTAACGTCTTCACATTATTTATCCCATGAGACAAGAGCTTTGACTTTGGGAGTTGGGTTTATTATTATTTGAATTAGCAAAAAGAGTTCTTGACATTGTTGTGAAGTGGTCAAAAAAATCATTTTGTTGTTGGAAATTTTAGATCTCTGATAAGTAGTTCTTTTTTTAAGTTTTTGCAAGTGTAGAAAAAAATTTTGAATTTAATTTATTGTGTAGAGGAATTGTTGGAGCAAAAACGAAGAAATAAGAGGAAAAAGTTGAAGAGCAGACAATGATCACGAGAGGAAGAATTAAGCTTGAAGAGTACAGAACGATTATGAAGAGAAAGAATTGGGGTTTTCCATTTAGGCTATAAAATTAAAGAAAAACTTTTATTAAAGAGTAATGCTACAAAATGAATCCACACCTAAGGCTGGCATGTGGACCGGTTAGGCCCGGGCCCGCCTCAGGCCCGCGAGCCCATATGGGTAGTGGGCCTAAACAGGCCTAACCGTTTAAGACCGGGGCCATGGGGGTGGGCCTGCTAAGTGGGCCGATTAAGCCAAAAAGCCCGTTATGACCGGAGCGTTTGGGCCCTGGACCGGGTGCTAAGTGGGCCGGTTCAACCGGTCCCAAACGGGCTCAAACGCGCCCAACGGCTATATTTAAAAAAAAATTCCAAATAAAATTCTGACCGTTTGTGGATTTAAAATATGGTCGTTGGCCTGCAAAAATAGCCATTTGGGCTTTGTAAAATAGCCATTTAACCCCCCAACTTTGTTTTAACCCCAAACTTTTTATAATTACACCTTTTCCCTATTTTCAACTATAAATACCCCCTCATTCTTTCATTTTTTTCTCACAAAATCATCAATCTCTCTCTAATTTTCTTCTATAATGGGTTACTTTATTCTTGCAATTTGTGTGAAAAATTATGAAGTTGGTGAATTGAAGTATTCAAGTCTTCAAGTCTTCAATGATAATTAATTTTCAACAAGTTGTTCGTCAATTCGGTAAACTCGTTCCAACTCTTTAGTTTTAATATTATAGTTTTGTTTGTTTTATTTACTTTGTATAATTATAATTAAGATGGCCTATTCCTTAAGAAAAATATTTAGTAAAAATAAGAAAAAATCCAAGAGTGGTGAATCTAGTGGCCAATCTATTCCTCCTCTAATTCCCCCGGCTCCCCTACTCAAACCCCATACCCGTCCTCCACCTGCTCTTATTCTTGATAGTGATAATACTTTATTACAATTTACAGAGAGTCAATATGTGCATAATAATTGGAGGTGGTGAACACTTAGATCGTGAATATATGAATTCTCTTTATGGTAATCCAACTATTGATGAAGAAGATGGGCAGGAAATAGATTTAGATGAAATGCAACCGGATGACGATACACCCACTAGTCCTGTTACTGAAGTTAACCCAACTAATCCAAATGATGCCCCGGTTTACCCCCTGTTACTACCCTTACTTCTTCTAGACAACCTTCTAAGCGGCTAAAATGGCTCTTAACTGGCTTTTTTATTCAAACCGTAGAAGTAGACTTAGAGAATATTTTAAAAGATGCGATGAATTTGGCCTAAGAGAAAGAAAGGTTCTTAAACCTTGTCCAACTAGATGAAATTACATGTATGAAAGTTTAGTTGTTGCATATGAATATAGAAACCCCATAAACTCAACGTTTAATGCTCATGTAAGTGATGATGATGAGCACCTTACAAATACGAATTGGGCTAATGTTAAAATGCTTGTAGATTTTTTAGAAAGATTCCATGTTGCTACAAATGAATTTTCTGGGCAATATTATCCTACTATTTCTAACGGTTTAGTTTATCTTGTAGAACTTGCAAATTTGTTTGCTTATTTTTCAGAGGGTGGGGAAATTTATAAAGAAGCTATTGATTCTATGAGAAAGAAGTTTTAAAAAATATTTTTTTCCCCATTTCCCCCTATTTATGGTGTTGTTGCCTTGTTAAATCCTACTATGAAATTAGGAGGTCCTCAATATTGGTATCAATCTATTTATAATGGTTTAGCACTTGAAGATGAGGAGTTGTCTACACTTTCGGACGCACAAGCCTCAATTAAAATAAATGTTCTAACTATTTATAGTGCTTATCAAATTGCAATAGATAATGCTAGACCAAATGTTCCAACTCCTTCTTCTTCTAGTTCTACATCATCTAATAGAACTGCAGAAGTAAGAGCACTTACTGCTTGGACCGGGTTCAGGGGTTCTCAAGATTGTAACACTACTAGTGATTGTTCACAACTAAATGAGTTTGAAGTTTATTTGTCACATGGACTTGAGGAAGATCCAGACGGCTCGTTTAATCTTTTGGAATGGTGGAAGAACAAAGAAAACACTTTCCGATCCTTTCAAGGATGGCCCCAGACATTTTAACCATTCAAGCTTCAACAGTGGCATCGGAGAGCGCTTTCAGTCAAGCAAGACTTCAACTCGGTGATTATAGAGCGTCTATAAGAGAGAGATTGGAAAAATCAGTACTTTTCAGAGATTGGATCCATTCGGAACGAAGAAATTTTGGACTTGCAGAATCAAAACCAGAGGTAGACGAAGCTTACGAAAAAATGCTAGCTGAAC